GTTCCTTTCCCTCACTTTCTCCCTCCCTTCTCCTCTCTCTAAAAATAAATAAATACAGTATTTTTTTTAAAAGACTATACTATCTCTAAATTTAATTTAAAACTTACTTTTCAGCCAGATTTGAGGAATGCATTGCCCCTTCCATTCACCTCTGCCCCCAATAGTAGTAATTCACACCATAGGTCTCATTAATGAACAGTGTAGGTATGCTTTGGAATAAAATTGCTATGATGCCTTTAACCACGTTAACAGCACTCCTTAATTCTAATCTGAAGGACATAGATGACAAAAACTAAAGTGCTGCTTCAACATTTTATCTGGGGCTAGGTTGCTAAGCAAGCTATAATTCATTAGTAGCAGCTTATTGCTGGGAAAAATATGGAAATAAATCAGTACTTACACAGTCACAGCTAAATCAGAACTAAATAAAGAGTGGCCTAGCTAAAGTTATGGTCTGTCTAACTCTATGCCCCTTTGGGAAATGTGGACACTAATGCTGCCTCTAGGATTGTATATAAAGCACTTAATGAATGGACAGTAGGCTATTATTTTTATCATCTCATTACTGTTTTAGTACTCAAATCATGACTCATTTATATGACAAACTATACGGAAAGAAATCCATTCACATAAAGAGAAAATCTTCAATAAATCAGACTATGCAGTATTCGTTCAGATACTGGTATTAAAATACTTCCAAATCAGCTACAGTATCCTTGGGGAGGAGGTGTAATAGGATCTATCATCTTACAAGGAAATGGCACACTCCAAAGCATGCACTGAAAGAAGCCAAGTCAACTACATGCACATGTTTACGTATTATATAAATATATAAATGTAGCTATAAATAAATGCTATACCAATTCCTAACTCATTTGTAAAATATTTACAGAGTAAAGGTTTACAATTCAGGCTCCTTTAATTGCCTTACTCTTCCAAGTCCACAGCTAGAGAGATTATTCTGCTTACTATACATCTACAAAAATGTTCATTCATATAATTTGACCTTTCCTAACCTTCTACCTTCTCTTTCCCTTGTGAAAGGCAGACACCTAAGGACCTTTAAAACCTAGGCCCAAAGACCTGTTTAGACCAGAGAGGGTTAAAATAACGATGTTCTGGAATGACTGTGTGAAGAGTAGAATGGGAGTCAGTAAACTATGGGTTAGAAGTCAAATCCTCCCTGCAACTTGTTTTTACAAATGAAGTGTCTATACTAGATACCCTGGACCACCACAAAGATGAACAAGTGGGTCCTAGAGCAAATTAAGCCTGAAACACTGATGGAAGCCAAAATGACAAACTGAAGCTATCCTACTTTGGGCACATCATGAGAAGACAGGGTTCTTTGGAAAAGACAATAATGCTGGGAAAAATATAAGGCAGCAGATAAAAGATCAAGACCAAACATGAGATCGACTGACTCTGTAAAAGAAGCCACAGGTTGAGTTTATAGGAACTGAGCAGGGCTGTTTATATCAGGACATTGTGGACATCACTCATTGAGAGGATTGTCAGGAGTTGGGGCTGACTCAACAGCATGTGACACATAAAGAACACGCCTAGCCCATTTCTTCCCACAGTGTCTATGCTTGCTTATGCTCTGTAACAGAAGAATTGAGCAATTGCAACAGAGACCATTTAGCCCAGGAAACCTAAAATATTTACAAGGTAGTCAGTCCTTTACTGGAAAAGTCTGTCAACGTTTTAGAGGACCCTTGAAATCAAATGTCAGTTTAATAAGGAAATTTCCATGAATCTGAGGATACCGTAGATATAGCAAAGGAATAATCCATACAAGACAGCCCTGCTATCCCTTCCATCTCCAAGTATATAAATTCAGAGTAGCTTCTCCAAATTATTTCATCTGCTAATACAGGACTAAGGCATAGGAAAAAAGTTTGAAAATGCATGCATTATAATAAGGTTACTTGTTTCAAAAAGAAAGAACATTACTTTCAAGACTTAGGAACCAAGCTTGCTTTGTAATAGAGCACACACAAAAACACACATCTGTGTCTTTTAAAAGGTCATCTGATATTAAATATTCTAATGCTGAGTAGTTTACTGATTTTTTTCTCACCTACTATATTTATGAGTTAACTAGGAACTCCAAAAGCTATATGTAAGAAAACATTAAAGATGCAGTTTAGACTGTAAGTGACATGACAATATTTTTGAAAAAGGAACTGATAAAAAAAAGATCTAAACCAACAGGATAAATAAGACAGGAAGACTAGTATTATGTTTGAGCTATCTATTCTCTCTCTCTGTTATACATAATGAAGGATAATCTCGTACTAGGGAATGCATAAATAGCAATTAATTTTCCTGAGTTACACATTTTTTAAAATAAAACATGTATTTTGATGGCCTGTATATAATTAAATATAATGACACTGCTTGCAAATGGGATTTTTAAAACCACTTTGCATAGCAAGCTTTTTTTAATTAAAAAAATTGAAAATAATAATTATTATCCACAAATATCACAAAAAACTGCAAGGAAATCCTCAAACAAAAATTAGATAAGAAAACTACTATATCTTCATAATTTCTGTCACTAAAATTGAGTGATATAAAAAGAGAAAAAAGCCAATGAATGACCCAGTAACTCTCATTATTTAACTTCCAACCACTTTATGCGAAACAAAACATTTCCCCAGTATCTATACTTTGTAAGAAAGATATTTTTATAATTGGAATACATAACTAATATTTCAGAAAACTACTTTAAAACCAGAATAGGTAACATTTCCAGAACTAATTTTTTCAGACCAGTTTATTAATTTAAGAATCTGTTTTAAAAATTCATTGCAACACTTCAAAAACAACTATATTATAAAATCCGACTGGTTATTTTAATTAAAATAACTAGACCTTTAAAAATTATAAAGAAACATTTAGATCAGTCATATCATATTTTATGACTCATTATGTTATGAATAATAAATCTGCATAATGCAGTGATATGAAATACCTAGAAATTTATTTTACAATTACATAAAAATGTCAGAAAAATTCAAAAAACTGAGATTTAAACACATATAATCTTTAAACTTATCTATGTTATGGATTATTTAACATTTAAATTATATCAACACAGAAAAATGCTTTAAATAATGACATATTCTACTGTTGCCTAGGAGCACGCCCACTTGCCAGCAATAAAAGTGAGCTCCAGACACTTGTATAGAGGCACTTCAGTGATTCAAGATTCTTTCTTTTGTTCTGCTTAATAAATAACCCAAAACTGAATTATGTGTGCCATCATATATTGAAACATAAAATGTATTATTACTATCTTACATACATATAATAAAAGACCTTACAACAGACCTTAAACATTTAGTTTTACTAACATTACTTTTATATTTTCTAAGTTCAAATGTATTCAAAAGGTCCTCATGTACACATAGCTTCAACATCAAAACAAACTTAAAACAGGAGTTCAATTAAGTGTAACAAAATTCTACAGTTCTAATAAACAATACAAAATAATAAGCACTTAACATGCTACTAATCTAAACACGAGACAAATGTGAAAGGATGCTGAAATTGAACCCCAATTTCTTATAAAATTACTTGGACTAAAAGCTATTTTGTTTCTAATAATATGTTGTCCTTGGAAGTAGAATATGAACCAACACGGTAAGCACTTGAAAAATAATTCAAAATGTGAATTAAATGTTAATTATTTATAAAAATAAGAGTAAGTAAGCTAAAGAATGGTACTCTGCAAGTTGATGCAGAAAATTCAAGTGGCTCATTCAAATCTGTTAAATTATAGAAAATAATACCTGAGCATTTCTGAACTCTCCCAAGCTTGCTTGACTTAAGTCTTTAATAATCAAGTTACAATCATGGCTAAGCAGACCCAAAGCCTCCCCTTTCCTCTACAACACTGAGGTTTTTACTTCAGCATATCAGTTTTCTGTTCTTCAATCAAGTGTATCTTGCCAGAGTATAAATGCAAAGGGAAATTAAAGGACAGGGGGAAGGAGAAGGGCGGGAGGAGCAGAGAAATGGAAGAGAAAGAAAAATACACTCCAGCAGACATTCACTGCTGAGAAAAAAGTTCTCAGCTCTGACCCAGATTCCCCCAAGTTTCTCACCTCCACAGTCACGGGCAGGGTTTAGAGATGAGTGAAGATGGCGCACTGCCAACAAGCCGAACTGGAACTCTGAATGGTTTTGCATTAAAACTTAGTTGTATAAAATGACTAAGTTGCAAGCTTTATTCCTATCCTTTATAAAGCGTTCTCTGAAAATATTACTAATTGAGAGATAAACACTATCCAAATTTTAAATAATTTCAAAGTTCACAGACTTTAGCATAAAAAGCCCTTGCTCCATGCTATTGTCATCACTGAATTTTAGAAATATTACACACCAAATAGACTTCCCTGCCAGCTGAAGAACCAAAGACAGCAGTCTTTCTTCAAAGGGAAAGTGTGAGTTCAAAACAATGGTTTTATAAACGAATTTCTCAAACACAACCCTATTACAAGATATATCAATGTATTTCTCTCATAATTTCCTCTAGATATATTACAAAGTAACTGAATGTTTTTAAGAAATGTCCCTTGTATGCTAACAGGTATCATTCTTATGTTACAAAGAGGACAGAACTAATAAATGAATATCCCAAAGGTACAAATCTTAGTTTCAGAAAAGTATTCTAATCCAGGCATCTTTATATCTTCAGAAAAGGTACTTGAGTTTAATGAATAAAGCATCACCCTATTAATAAAGTGATAGAACCATAAAATTTAGAAATAAGTCATTTCATTGACATAATTTAGTATAGATTTAAACAGAATAAAAATTAGATCATAGAATAATGTTAATTTTTTTCCTCTCATTTTATACCACATTGATTTTTGCTGCACTCATTTGAGCAATTCAGGGTCAATAAACTAATATTACTGAGGAACAGACATGTCACGTATCTATTTATCAAATGCTGTAAAACTAAAACTGTACATATGAATACTTACTTATCAAAGCTATCACTATTTTTGATGAAGCTCTCCAGTTTTTCCTTGGCATATTCGACCACGTCTGAATGAAGCTCAATCCCATGATTTATTCCAAAAGGACCTGCAATCGTAGCAGCATTTTTACAAAAAAAAAAAAAATAAGTCATTACAGAGCTTTAATTTCTGCTCATTTATCACAGGAACATTTAAGAGGGCTTGAAATATGTGAGTTATCTGCTAGCTACATATTTAAAAAGCTAAATGGAAAACTCAGAATTACACTGCTTTAATTTTTTAAAAGAAGTCCTTCTGTGAAGACAATGATGCCAAAGAAAGTCATATACTATATGAAGTTTTAGTTCTTTACCATTATATTTTATCAGTGGTTAAAAATTCAGGTTTAAAATCCTGAAACTATGTGACGTTTAAGTTATTAGGTTTTATGATTGGATAAAAATTTGGTAATTCTTAAATCTTGAAACCATGGGCTGACACAGATATTATATAAATATCTCACCACTCACCACTTGGTCCTTAACTTCAAGGACCAAGACCACATTCTATGCCTTTTGGAACTTCATTGTCTAGCAGAATGTGGCTATCGGTCACTTCTGACAGGGCTGATTTTACTCCCATGTTCCACCATACTTCACACTCTCAACTTAGTGTATCTTTTTACATGAAGCCAAGGATGAGTAACATACCAGGAATGAGTAAAAGGGGAGTTTTCTCAGCCCCAGATCATTTTGGGATGGCTCCTTTCCCCACCCTGGTACCAACTTGCTAACAATGTGACTTAACTGGATTCACATTTCCTAAGGCTACTGTGTATGCTGCGTGTCCATGACCCACAGGAAAGTATCATAACAATTTCATCTAGTTATTATAGTTCCTTTCAAATTTCTGAAATTGACTCAACCAGGTTTTCTACTCTACTTTTTTGTTTGTTTTGAGATTGGTCTGCCAAGAAAAAGCGTGCATACTTGTGTTTGTGTTATTTATTTTTTGTTATCTTTTATGGACTTATTGACTGTATCTTACATCTATTTTAGGAACTGCTTGACTGGATGTGCCCCCTACTGAATATCATTAAAAATATAATATATATTGGAATTTTTAAATAACAACAACAAAAAAATCAGTCATCAATTATCAAGTTCAAATGTTGAAAGGGCATATAAATCGTTTGTAATCTAGAAACTTAACTACAAAAATTAAATCAAAAGATTCAGATGCTATCTTCAGGTCAAAATCAGATAACGATAATGCTTTAACCTACTATATTTATACCATATTGTATTTATTTTTTAAAAAACTCATTCAACTTTTAAAATGTAATCAGATAAAAATATTAAAAAGTACTTGACCCATTAAACCACAACATATAGAATTTCTTTTGCAATGCTTTTATAGTTTTAAAAATAAATTATTTGGATTGATACAAACTTAAAACATTTTGCTTCTCTTTTTTTTTTTTTTGGTTTCCTTACTACTGAACTGACTGTTGGTCTTATCTGAAAACTGGAATATTCATCCAATATCATTTGAGACATCTTGTAATTCCTTAGTATTACCATAGATAAACTGACTAAAAATAAAATTTCCTTTTTTCAAAAAATAAATGAAAGTGGAAAAAATTAAATTTAAAGATGCACAGTAACATCACTTTAATTTAGTACTGAATCTAAATATTTTAAAAACTTAAATTTCCATTAGAAAAACTATGTTAGGAAAAACTGAACAAAGTTTTCTTCATTTAAATACTCAAACTACAATTACTTAACATTAGGTAAAGAAAATACTGCTCTATGAAATTAACCTGTTTTCTTTTCACCATTTTTGAGGTGACCCATTGAAAGTAAAACAACAGAGGTTGAGATAAATAATAAAGGTTAATACTGCTGAAATTTGACATTTTCTATTAGACTGAGTGCATAATCACTATACTAAAGGTGTCAAGTAAAGAATCTGGAAATCACGGCTTCTACTCAGTATTTCAAACTGTGATTAACACAGGTTGTAGGTTAAGAGGAACTACACGAGTTGTTCATCACTTAAAGAGACGAATGGTCTCTTTTTTTTCTTTTCTTGCTTTCTGATTATTGTCTAAAAGCAAAATGGCAACTTTTGGAAATAAGGTTTAAAATTTGTTAAGAAAGTATCTTAAGAATGTTTTTCATAAAACTTTTCTATATTACTATGATACAGGATAAATACAACTTCATTAACATATATTTGGCAATATCATAAACACAGAATATATTGTGCATTAGTCTATACTGCAAACACCATTTATGATTTTAATGGATGTAACTGTTTAATTTTAAAACAATATGGAGATGGATCTATAAGATCATTAATAAATTTATAATATATTGAAAATTAAATAGAATGTATTAATAAAAGGCAGAACTTAAATAGGAATACCAATGTCATTTATTTAGAATGCAATATACAACTAGAATACATCAAATTATGATAAAAATGTAGTGTAGCTTATTACAACTCATATTTGACATCTGTATTCAACAGAACAGAAATCAAACACAGAAATGCAAAAAAAAAAGTATATGTAGATGCTTCTGAGGGAGGAGATTAAGAGGCCTTGGGCGGGAAGGAGACACTTTCATCATTACACCCTTTGTCTAAAGTGCGCCTTAACTGTGCATGTATAATTTTTTCATGCTTAAAACTAGCCAAAGAGAAAAAAGTAAAATATGTTAAAATAAACAATGTAAAATCATTCTAATAGAAAGTACAAGCTGTCAAGAGAAAAAAAAATGAAACAGCATCCCAAGTGTTAACATTTTCTTACACTAACAGATGAAGCATCAACTTGACTTTGTATTCAATAGACTCCAATGTTATTCTGTATTTGCCAAAGAGATTTTTCTATGCAATAATAAATTCTTAATTTTTGTAATGCATTTTTTTAAAAAATGAAACTTGTAACATCTGATCACTATCCTTAAGGCTAAATATTGAAGAAAAAATAGAAATATAACAGAAGTCAAAGTTTATTAAGACAAATACACTTTCTAGAAAGACCTACGTATGTTAGAAATGATTTTTAAGGCTGGCAACAGCCCATTTATTAAGAGCAATAATATAATAAAATTCCGATATAATAAAATTTAGTGACTGTTTTTCTTCTGTAGTAGTTGGAGCTAATCTAACTCATTTATCACCTACCAGTTAGTCAATAATCAAAGCTTATACAAAAAGGTCAATAATTATTAGGTATACGTATGAAATGTCCATGCTACCTCTACATTTCTTATTTACATCTATGTGGACCTAAAGTAACACGAAACATGCCAACTTCCCCCAACTCTGAAGTACCCTGAAAGGCTGTTTGAGTGTGGTATTCAGGGCAGAAGTCTTCAGGAGGCAGGCCACGTAATCTGAGAGCTTCATATGACATTTGAATGCAGCTCTCAGTACCTTCAGACTTCTGTGTCAAGCTAATTTACCGAACAAATAACCACAAGAAAAAAAAACACAACAACTTCGTAGTACATAACTAGAAGGCTCTAAAGATGAACTAATTCAAAATCCACCATTTCAACTGAGGACTCGAATCTAAACACTGTGGGGTAATGAGAAAGTGGATTTAAGGGCAGATGTCTTAGTGTCCAACCTTGGTCCCTCCTCTTAACAGCTGCATAATCTGAGATCAGGCACTTACCATTTTTAGTTTTTCCTATTGTATAAAATGGGTCCCTAGGAAAATCATGTAAATTATGTAAAAGTGCTTCACATATTATAAAGTACAAGATGGGTACAGATGGTTAGAACTTATAATGTGTCCTCTCCTTGTACACAGAACTGGTAAATTGTAGGACCAAAACCATAACCTGTAAGTGGCTCTCAACTCTGATTTCATATTAGAATACCTAGGAATTTTTAAATTAAATTTAAAAGATTAAATTTGATTTAAACTGTAAATGCCTGGGCCCCACTGAAAGAGGACAGAGAAACCTCTCAGGGTGTTGCCCAGGCTCTGCAGGTAACTGGAACACAACTGCTGTACCCTTCTAACTATTACAAAGCCCAATCCAAAAGATTTTTAAAGTGTCTCTTGGCTATCAAAATCTCTGTTCTCACTGGTAAAGTAATATCAAAAGTGAATAACTACAAACTAAATCATTTTGAATAAAAACTAAATTTTTACCACAAGAGGGAGTAGGTCAATCAGTTATTTGGTTTCTATGAAAGTAATACAAAGTTTCTCAGTGAGAACTAAAATATATATATAAAAGTAACAATGATATTTTATTACTAATTTTAGTTGTATAAAATTAAGCATCTTTAGGCAGATTTATAAATTACTTTGCGAGAATTTAAAGGCAAGTAACAGGTAAAATGCAGAGAAGGATTGGTTTGACTCCTTTTTTCCATGAACACCCTGGAGTATAATGTAGAAACATAAAATAGTGCAAAGGTAGACAAAGGAAAGGGGAGAGGGAGAGCTAGGAATCAGCAGAAGATTAAATATAATCATTAATGTGATAAAGAGAAATTGATCTAATGTAATGCCACTTACTAAAATATAATTAATTATGGTTTCTCCGTCCTATTACATCCCATTAAAAATACATTATTACAGAAAGATAAACACTGCCAAATGGTTACTGAATCTTGTCATATCAGCTTAACCATTTTGAAGCTGGTTGGAAAGATCTAAGAACAGAAATTTGTTCTCTTCTCTGCAAGTTTAGAAAAGGCCTCATGAAGCAAGTCTCGAAATTTATCAGAAAGTTCAAGTCCCAGTCCCTAGACCTTCTCTCAGTTTATGGATAGGTGCTATTTTTAATATACTTGAATCTTAGAAATATATTTACACGAAATCTAAAAGTGTTTAACAGTTACAGAGAATGGACCCAAACCCCTATGTAAACTGTCAAAAATGTTGAAATATCAAGAACAGATGTCACAATCAGTTGTTTTACTTATTTCCACCCAGCGGGCTGAAAATACTCAAGACTACTATGTCCAGAGTAACTTATGACTATCTCACACACTTATATTGGAACTTTAATAAAGACATTGAGTCTCATCTCACACATCTACTTTGGCTCTTTAATAAAGATTAAGTGCCTACCAAAGCAAATTAAGTAA